AAACAATTTTTCAAACTTTTTTTCCTACAATGCACATAGAGAGTCATCACCAGTGAAATTAAGAAGCAAGCAGTTCCTTTCTTTAAATAGATTCCCAACGACCTGTGGAAGCTGCTTAAGCTACCTAAGGAAAATTTCAACCATATGAAAACCACCAAACACAAGAAGTTGGAAATACTCTTAACGTGTGCTCCTCTACACCTGCAACAGTGCCAGCCCTCCTGAGTGGTCACTGGAGGTAACTGGCAAAAATTCTGCTAATGGACTGGTTTTGACAGTGTCCAAGTGAGGATCAGTCTGGCCTGCTAATGTTAGAACTGGGAGTAATGCCAGACCTTCCAGGAGCTGGCCACAGGCTTAGGCTACATTACATAACCTCCTAATTGGCACCAGTCACGCAGGTGCAGATATTTCTTCCACGGACTGCATTAGTACCAAAACCTGCCAGCTTTCTTCTGAACTCTTTCCACACAAAACAGTGAGCCTGGCTGGACTATCAAGGTGCATTATTTGCTGTTATTTTCCCCTCCTTCTTGAACTTTTCTAATAGTACTATTTTTCTAGGAAAGATGCTAGAAGTTGACAATTTATATATCACTATATGCAATATTCTACGTAATGACCAGAAATGACTCAATTAATTTTGAAGATACTTTTAAAATACACAGGCAACAAATATGATGTTATCAGGACCACCATCAAGCCCTTATTTATTTTTGTAGGGTCAAAAATAAGGCTGTGATTCTAGCAACATTTTGATAAGTAAAGGTACCTACATGCTTACCGTATACCAAAGGCATAGCTTCATGAGAAGTTCTTTCAGGAGCACTGCTACCTTTTAAAGGTGACCACTGATTTGCTCACTCTCACTCTCTGCCATTCCCTTGGGCTGTTTCACCACAGCTGTTTATGGCAATACAGAGTCAGATGGGGAAACAGAACCACATTAGTTACCTGACTTGCAAGACAGGGAGAGAAGAGAGAGAGGAGGAGAGCTATTTTCAGTTCTCAAATTAGGCCACCACACAGCTGCACAAACAGCTGCACCAGCACAACTGAGAGGTTGCATGGGGACTGAAATGAGTGGCTGTGCAAAAGAATTAGTTAAACTGGCACTGACAGCAATAGAAATGCTTATCAAACTATGGCTTCAGGCAAAGTGGTATGGTCTAGATGGGTGATTTCAAAGGATGTGCCAACATCCAGCTCCTGTGGATTTTTGGGTTTCTTAGGCACCCTTGGAAATCTCAACCTAGACATTCAAAACTAACGGATTCTTGTTTCAGGATAGACGAAACAGTTTACATTGCTTTTATCCTGTTCTTATTAAAATTGTAACTGCTGCTTTTACCATCTTGTTTTGCTATCCCTATTCAACAGTAAATAAGCAGATTTGCAAACTGCAAAGAGGTCAGTTTCCAACACTGTAATCTTGTAATTAAGGAATCTTAAGGAATAAAAAAAAGGATCACTAACACATCTCCACCACAAACTGGAACACTGTGTAGAGTTAGCCAAGATAGCTTCAAATGAGCTACATTAGCAACTCTATCACAATGGCAGCAGACTCCACATGGACTAATTTAATTGGTTGACTCCTTCCAGTAAGCTCCTTTTTAATGCTAATCCAAAGTATTTCTACGTTATACTACAAACTACGTACATTGTAAATTACTTCTTCCCACTTCCCACTTCTTCCCCTCATCGAATTACAAAAGTCAACTTGATCTCACCTAAGCAAAATTGGCAAAGCATTCTACTTACTTTAAGAACAAAAATTCCATGTAGGTCCATCAGCAAGTTCATAAATAAACAAAAAATAATGCTTACATTTACTTATGAATTCTCATACAGGCTCTGATTAATGACCTACACACTTGACACAGAAGCAACTATACACTGGAATAGAAAAACAACCCATGAACTCCTAGAAACTGATGTGGTTAAAGCAGTTAGAGGTAAATACATTTACTAAAAATGCGTATTTAATAGGAGTGCCCATGATGACACACTCTACCTACCTTTTGGGAAGGGTTAAAGATTGAGGGTGCACAAGTATGATTTATTTTAGAAAATTAACTCTGACATTTGAAGCAAACTGAGAACAAATAATACGTGTTATCTGTGGTTTTATTCTAAAATCACTTTCATAAAAGAAGATCTCTTTCCCATTCAAATTTATTTTCAATAGGATTATAAATCACTGTTTTGTTATTTCAATTCTAATCTTCTTTATCTGAGTACTACAAACATTGTAACATAAATGCAAATCTGCCTACTACTCTGCCATCTCACAGCAATGATTGTTAATCAGAAGTTTTGGTCTGGGTGTTTCTGAAAGCATCAGTGAATATCCTACTACTTACAGGAATAAACGAAACCCAACCAAGTTATAATTATCTACAAAATTTAGAGGCAGTAGGCTGAAAAATGAGAAATGACAGATGTGCATGATTACTACTGAGATTTCTGTTACTCTCTTCAAATGACTATCATAGAATCATAGTTCCAACCCCCCTACCATGGGCACGGACACTTCCCACTAGACCAGGTTGCCCAAAGCCCCATCCAACCTGGCCTTCAACACTTCCAGGCATCCACAACTTCTCTGGGCAACCTGTGCCAGTGCCTCACCACTCTCATGGTGAAGAATTTTTCCCTAATATCTAACCCAAATCTACTCTCATTCAGATTAAAGCTGTTCCCCCTTGTCCTATCACTACAGGCCTTTGTAAAAAGTTCCTCCTCAGCTCTCTTGTAGGTCCCCTTTAGCTACTGGAAGCTGCTCATGTTGAGTTTCTCATCTACCAACACCCCCACTATGTAAACTCTGATTCCGTATTTAGTATTATTTGGTGTTTGGTTCTTTTTTCCTATCATGGCACAACTTCAACCTCTACCTGCTGAAGGAAGCCAGGTATTTAATTACATTTCTGTGGCTTTCTAGGCACACAGTTTGAATATTAGGTTTGATGGCAGTGCACTTTCATCAATAAAAGGTAAAGTGACTACCAAGAAGAAACAACGTATTAAAAAGAATCAAAGTTCAGTGAATTTTTAATTTTCAACTCACTGCCTAAACAACACTGTAAAGATAACATTTAACTAATGGAAGTCTTAAGAACAGAAAATTCATTCAAGATGTGAATAAAGAATTCTCTGTCTTAAAGCAGAAGAATGGAAGCACACATATATATACACCTGCTACAAAATCTGTTTATACCACTGGATAAAGAAATCACATTTTCTTGTACTTTGATGAAAGAACTAATAATCACTGGCCTGACTACTTGCATTAGTGTTACTAGAGTAACTATATTTGACTATCCACTGTTCTTAAAATTGCAGACTTAAAATCAACAGAAGGTAAGACTCTAACAGTGCATTACTGTTTTGCAGAAGTGTATTACCATTCACTAATTCATCAGGAGCTACACTTATCAATACAATATAAGGTTTCAGATTCTCTCAAACGTAAAATCTTGTAACTGTCATTGTTCTGCTCAATCTCTTTATCATTAACAACTTTCAAAACTTCACATTTAACAAGAAAAAAACCCCCAATTTAAAAAAATCTCATTAAAAGCACTGAAATTTAACAGCATGTAGAAAACCTGCAATCTCATTGTCACATTTTCTCTTTATTCCTTAAGAAGTACATTCAGCTGCCCACAGTTTTTATCCTAAATGCCATGCTGATGTAGCCACTGGAAAAATGAATTAAAGATTTCATATTTTTTTTGAATTTTCATATTTCATATACTTTCAGTATACTGAAAGTATACTTGAATAGTGGTATAGGTAGTTTAATCCTTACCTTTTCCAGATTCCAACAAGATAGAATAAATATGCTGACGAGCAGGGCGGTAGATAAGTGCCTGTCCAGGAATCTCTGTATCAGATTCATCTTCCAAAGAGTTGCTGCATACAATCTCCCCCTTACTCAGGATATTGAAGATTGTGTAATTTTCAGATTGGACATGCTGTTCTTTAGCTAACTGTTCAAAGAAAGAAGGCAGCATTATCTCCAAAATTAAGGAGGATTACAAAGTAACAAAATGTATTTTCACTGTTCAAGGAAATAGTACTTTCTCTGGCAGTGGAAATGGAGCAAATGGCCAGGGTGGGAACAAGTGCTTTTTCAGGTAACCCCAGTATAGTATATTTTCAGTTATCTACCTTTCTGGGGACAGGAATCCCCAGGAAACCCATCATTGCCTTTCTTAGCCTCTCACTGAATTCTTAAAACTTTGGAGGGGG